GAGTAGCAAAGACTGTCCTATGACTCAGGAAATTCCAAGGATTTTGAGGCTACCTACTTGGGTAGGGAAGGGAGGGGGAAATGGAAACATACAGAAGGGCTAGTCAAATTCATTTTTAAAGATTTTATTTATTTATTTATTTATTTTAGAGAGAGGAAGGGAGGGAGAAAGAGGGAACATCAATGTGTGGTTGCCTCTAGTGTGCCCCCTACTGGGGACCTGGTCTGCAACCCAGGCATGTGCCCAGACTGGGAATCGAATCCACAACCCTTTGGTTCATAGGACAGCATTCAATCCACTGAGCCACACCAGCCAGCACAAATTCTTTATTTATACAACAGGCCCAAGCCAAAGCACATCACAAAAAATTCAAAATGTCAAGACAAAGAGCACATCCTAAAAGCTTCCAGAGAGAAACAGGTCACATACAAAGACTTACAGATTAAATTACACTAACCTTCTCAATAGCAAGGCTGGGGACTGAGAAACAGGGAAGCAATACTTCAAAATTCTGAGGACAAATTATTTCTAATCTAGGACTTTATACCAAATTGAACTATCAACCAAAGGTGCAGGTATAATAAAGACAACATCAGAAATGCAAGGTCTCAAAACTTCTACTTCTCAAGTACTATTTCTCAGGCATCTGCTGGAGGATGTGCTTCACCAGTGGGAGGAAGTAAATCAAGAAAGAAGAACTGAGCTCCAGAAAACAGGGGAGCTTACACAGGAGAGAAACAAAGGGAATTTCCAGGATGATGGTGAAAGGAACTTGCAGAGTGACAATTGTGTAGCAGGCGTAGAGATCACTAAGTTCAAATTGAAACACAATAAAAAAGGGCTTCAGGAAGGGATGTTTCTAAGAAAAAAATGGAACTGACATGTTTGACCATGTGAAGTGATCTTTGTAGCGCTAGTGGGAATGTGTATAGTTAAATCCATGCTATATACATAGAAATCTAAACAAAAGAAAAAATGAGACAATTTAACTTAGAAAATATATAGCCAAAATACTATAAATATTGAATATTTATTTTAAATATGAACTATAATTCTATTGGAAGAATAAAAGAAGACCAAGTATGTGGGGGTAAAAAGAGAAATATAAGCGCTACATCTTCTCCTATTTTAAAATGTCAATAAGAATTTTTAAATCAGCAAAAAAAAATGATCTGGGTTAGTCAAAATATGGAAGTAAATACTAGGGATAAAAAACAGCTAAAAGACTGGTTGTCTTTGGGGAGTGGGAATCAAGGATGAAGAAGGAAGAACGGAAGACTGACTTTTTTATTTTTAACTTGTTATACATTTAGTTGCTTTTTTAAAAACTATGTTCATGTATTATTTTGATTGAAAATCTTTTTTAGGATAAATGAAGAAAATGACAAATTGCCAAAAAATTGAGTGTCCCTAGGGTAGCACTTGTTACCTTTGTGAATTCATCACCACATTGGGTCCAGACATCTCCACAGAAACCAGAGCTGTTAGCCCTAAGAGCAGCAGCATTTCTATGAACAGATACACATTAACCAGGCTCAGGAGACCGATATTTCAAATCAAATACCAATTCATTAATTTATAAAGGGAAGCAAAGCTTTAAAGCAGACTGGATCTTCTTGTTCGCTGATGAGTGCATTCTCTCCCTGGGGTGAATTTACACGGGAACTAAGTGGTTTTCAGCATGTTGCTTGGTGATCCAGAGCACCAATGAAGGGGGGGCGGTTCGAGTGGTTTCAAAGAATAACACCTCCATTTCCCATGTTCCTGGACCAGCATCTTTGTCCCCAGGAGGTGCTGGGATGGACACTCTGGTGATTGCCTTGACAAATCTACTTGATCTCTGTTCAGACCTCTCCTGACTGGCACTTCTTTTCTTTAGCTGCAATAATACCTTTATTCAGATTATAGTCTAGACTGGGCCTAACAGTTATTCCGCCTCCATCTCTAAAGTTGGAGCATCTATTTTATTAATTTTATTTTCAAATGACTTGGTTTCATTCCATGTGATACAGAATTCGGGATGGAACACAGACTGAAGGACACACGTTGACAGGATTCTGGGCTGGGTTTACTCTGACCTCAGAGCCAAGGCTGAAATGGCAGACTGAGAAGAGCTACAGAGCTGAGCCACTGCATGATTTTAACAATTACTTTTTATTTTTTTACAGAAGTTTATTCTTAAACGTACAACAGGCTCTAAGACAGCTATAGGTGGCAAGAGATGTTATGACAGGGAATCCAGGTGTTAAAACAGAAATGGAATTAAGGATTACCATTGTCTCGGGCACATAAGTAGAGCACTTTTGCCAGATTGCTTTTTTTTTTAAGTTTATTTTTTAGTGTATTTTTTCCTTTACCATTTATCCCCCTTATACCCTTTTCCACCTTCATCTTTTTTCCTTTTTTACTAAGAGAAAGTTTATTCAGGAAGTCACAGAGGTAGAAGTGAGCTGTAGAAGAAATGGGCTTAGGAAACAAGTCACAGAGGCAAAAGAAGAGGTTCTTGGAGCTTAGGAGAGAGAAGGGTAAAGGTAACAGGACAAGGCAGGGGCCGGGGGCGGGGTGGCAGCGGTGCGCTTTGCCAGATTTCTTCATTCCACCTGTGGCTGGGGGCCCTTCCCTGTAGCTCTCACTTTTGGCTCCTCGTTTCTTCTGCTCCTCTTTTTGCTTCTGCTTGAATGCCTCATTTCCCTCCTCTGCCTCCTTAGCCGGCTTCTTGGGCTGCTTCAGGGACTTCTTGCCACCTTCGCTGCAGCTCCTTCCCCAGACCCTGCCACCAGAGACTGATACATCTCTATTTTAAAGCATTAGAGGCTCACATACAGTCAGTCAACACAGTTACAAAACACCCATGACGTGCCAGGCCCTGTTCTAAGCCCTGCAATTATAGCAGTCAACAAGACTGATATTTGTCCCTACCCTCATTGAGCTTACAGTCTGGTGAGGAAGACCAACATTAAACAAAGTGCAAACTGAAGGAACAGCCTAACTCTCAGATGACAACTTAATTTACTTTATCCTATTTCTTGAGATGGAGTCACCTCCTGGTTGCCCCCAGATACCACCTACTACAATGAACCACTGTGGGGAGGAGCTGTTGAGTAAGGACTCTTGTCTAGATAGAGAAAGAAGACCCACTTTCCAAGCATAGATTCACTGCTTCCCATGGATTCTAAAACCAAAATCCTTCCAGTAAAGTGATTTTCTGTTTCAATTTATCTAGGGTTGGTTTCTGTCATTTGCCACCAAGAGCTCTGGTACAGCAACCATTTCAGACATTTGTGGACCAGGGAACAAGTCACCAAAAGGCATTTCCAATCCCTCTGCCTCAGGGCTGCAACCAGACCTGAAATCTTCCTGATCTGTGCCTTCTGTTCAGCACAAAGCAAGGCACACAGGCTGTCTCAATAAAACCTGGTTGGCTGAGTCACTCAGTAAGTTCATAAATGCCTGCCAGAAGCTGTTCTAGGTACTGAGGTTGCAAAGTTAGTAAGAGCTAGTTGCTGCTCTCAAAGATGTCCCACATGCACCTTAGACCCAACATATCCAAAACGGAGGGTATCATCTTTCCTGCCTTCTCCCAACTCATATATCAGCTCACACCATGTCCCATTTTCCAATAACACTGAACTGCTTGCACTTCTTTCCCTCTGCTTAGATGCCATCAGTGAATAGCTGGTGTTCTTAGACTACAGGGATGAGAGGGAAAGAGACAGAGCACAGGCAATCAGGCTGTTGCTTGCAGAGGTGAGAATTTGAATGCCAGGTAAAGCATCCTAAATCAATTGGCAGCTATTCCAAGCTACTTTCCTTGGCCTAAATAGAATAATCTTAGAGTTTAGTTTTCCTCTTTTACCGACAATAGTCTACATGGAAGGTAATATAAAGGGCTTATATGTCCATCATCTTAGCCAGAGATGCAGCTGCAAGCAATGTTCCCATATTATAGGTAAGCAGACAGAGTCCTCAAATGTCTTGGCTCTATGGCTAGCAAGTAGCAAAGCAAGGGCTTGACCAAAGTTTCCAGGCTCACAATCCCCATTCTTTCCTCCACTAGTACAGCCCTTAGAGAGTGTAGTGTGAGGGAGGGGATCCTCAGCAGTGGCCTGGCCCTGCGGGGAAACTCTCCTCCTCACCACCACACCAGGGGCTAAGTCTGTTCTGCGGGCCTGTCCTCCTGGCCTTAATTCCCTCCTCTAGCTTCTTAAATCCTCACAAAAACTCTGTGACATACTACCATCACTTCGTTTTATAGGTGAAACTGAGGAACGGAAAAGCGAAGTTTCAGACTCTAAAGTCCGGAATCTTCACCCTTGTTTCGCTGGGGTCCAGATTTGGAACACCTAGCTAAAGAAACCGGTCAACGGGTGGTGAAGCGGATGCTGGGGACCAGACTCAGTTCAGGGCTGAGCGCCGCCAGGTGGCGCGGTAGAGGTGTGACTGCTTTCCCACCTCACCACTCCACACCCCCCTTCCCCGCCCCCTCGCCTGCGGGCCCGACGCACCTGAACTAAGCCGGGCGAGGCCTGGGAAGTGGGCTCACGGGGCTGGGCAAGGCGGGGCGGGGCTGGGAGCCCAGAGTGGGCTAGGATCGCGGTTGTAGTTCGGTGTGCTGGAGCCGCACGGGTCTTAATAAAGAATGACGTCCCTACGAGGATACCGCCGGGCTGCATCAGTTTGCCGCCTGCCCTGCGCTCCCTAGTGTGCAATTTATTTGGGGGCGGTGGGGTGGGGACTAGAATAGAGAGAGAGAGCTGCCAGAAGGGTTGGGGCGCAGGCCATCATCCCCACCTGTCGACCGCCAGGAGCGGGTGGGTAGAGGGGAGTGGCTTGTCCCGTTGGGCCCGCCCCCGGGTCCCAGAGCCTAGGGCGCGCGACGAGATATAAGGCTGCCGGGAAACAATGCGCCTGCATCTCGCGCTCCCGCGCCTATCCCGGTAGCGTTTGGGCCTGTGTGCGCGAGCGAGGGAGGGAGGGAGCGCGACGGGGCGCGCTCTTGAATGCGGGCCGCGCGCTCGGTGGCGCGCATGTGCTTGTGTTCGGTCTGCCGGGCTGCCCCGAGCCGGCCCGGAGCGGGTCCGCTCCTGGTGGCTGGCGGCCGGAGCGAGGTGAGACTAGGGACTGCCGGTGGATGGGCACGGGTCCCAGGGCGCAGGCTGCAGGCTGCCTCTGGGCACAGCGCGCCCCCGCCCGGCCGGGCCCTGGGAGCTGCGCTTCGAGCGGCGCTGGCAAACTTTGCTTTTGAACTCGCTCCCCGCAGCCTCGTCCGCGCGTTGTGAGCGGCTTCCGTGGGCACGCTGATCCGGGACTGGGCTCCTCGGGACGCGAGGGAAGGGCGTGGGTTCTAAGCCCAGAGGTTCGGGAGGGACGAGGGCCTTGCAGCCGGCTGTACGGGGGGACCCGGGAACGCCTCCGTCCCTGGGCCCTTACCCCAGTCAGCACGTCCCCCTTCCCTCTCGCAGGGAGCGGACATGGACTTCGACTCGTACCAGCACTATTTCTACGACTATGACTGCGGGGAGGATTTCTATCGCTCCACGGCGCCCAGCGAGGACATCTGGAAGAAATTCGAGCTGGTGCCGTCGCCCCCCACGTCGCCGCCCTGGGGCTCAGGTCCCGGCGGCGGGGACCCGGCCTCTGGAATTGGTCCCCCGGAGCCGTGGCCCGGAGGGGGCGCCGGGGATGAGGCAGAATCCCGGGGCCACTCAAAAGCTTGGGGCAGGAACTACGCTTCCATCATCCGCCGCGACTGCATGTGGAGCGGCTTCTCGGCCCGGGAACGGCTGGAGAGAGCAGTGAGCGACCGGCTCTCCACTGGTGCGCCCCGGGGGAACCCGTCCAAGGTGTCCGCCGCCCCGGACTGCGCTCCCAGCCTCGAAGTCGGCAACCCGGTACCCGCTGCCCCCTGTCCGCTGGGCGAGCCCAAGACCCAGGCCTGCTCGGGGTCCGAGAGCCCTAGCGACTCGGGTAAGGACCGCCCTGGGCCAATCAAGAGGGTACACCCCATGGGTGGCCAAAATTGCCGCTGCCTGAGGTCAGGCACTGGGTCTTCGCCAGCCCTTCGGCTACCCATCCCCCTTTCTCTGGCTAAAGCTGCCGGTGTAGCCCCCAGCGGTGTCTGTCTGGCACGTGGGTGTGTTAGTAAACAGTTTAAAGAAGTGGCGTGGGAGCCAGCATTTCTTTGATGATGATTGGAACCCCAGGGGACAGGGGAGACAGGGTGAGGCTTTGCGCTCAGACGGGACAATACTGGGATTGCACTGCAGGGAATTTCTGTCCTCTGGAGGCTGGAAGGGGTCCCTTAAGGGTCACTCCAGCCTCTTAAGTTTTCTATTGCTGCCTCCTCCTGGGAAACTCACACTCCCCTAGGGAGAGAAGAAGCCGAGGAGCCCTTTGTGCAAAGCCAAAGCCTTCATCCTTTTAGAAACCTAGTCTCCTGTCTGTTTTACTTTAAGACGCTCCCACCACTTACCATTTGTGCATCAACACCATTACCCATGAGACAGGTAGGAGAGGAATGAACTCTCCCCATTAACAGATGGAAGACTTAGAAATAGGAAATCACTAGAAGTGAGCTCCAGCTTCCTGCCCTCTAGCCAGCCTCTTTTCCACCACCTTCCATTGGCAATCAGTCACTTTTTTCTTGATGTTTCGAGGGTCTTCTAAGTTTATCTTAGAAGAGCTACACCTTGCCTTGTTGCCTTGGCCTGAGGTGGAAAGGTGACCCTTTAATTCCCTCTCAATCCATCTGAGACCTTCAGCTGCCTCCTTGCATTCAAAAAATGTTCACTGGTCCCTACTTTGTGCCAGACTCTGGGCTGCATGCTGGGGTCAAGGATATGGAGCGCCAGGCCCTTTCTCCCCGCCGCCCCCTCCTCCTTGAATGCAAATGTAAACCTCACTGAGGGCACACCAGCATCCTGTACCACCAGAGTACAATGTTCTTAGCCTGACCTCTTCTCAGCAGAGAAATAGCAGGCAGAATGTTTTCATAGGGTGCAGGCTGAGGCCAGCATCAGGTAAATGAGGACAGAGAAAACTCACTGTCACTTTTAAGAATAACTTTTACATGACCATTTAGAGGGAACTGGGGAATGGGGTATAGAAGTCATCATACACTTGAAGGGAAAAGTAAGGATAACAAGAAAAATTAAAAGTCAATTTTTTTTCAGTCCACTGTGTTTAAGGTCATTTCTCACCTGCTTGTTTTCTACACCAAGCTTGTGTGTGTTTAATGGCTGGAATAGGAATTTTGAGGTCAAGAAACCAATAAAGATGTGCAGGGTCTGGCACAAATAACGCCCCTTTTTCTAATTACAAAATCATAAGCATGTAAATCTGCAACATAACAATATCACATTCAAGCATACCCTATGGCATTTTAGGGGAAATGTTCAAATTAAAACTATAAATTATTACACCCATATTACTATCCTACCAACCACACTCAAGCAAGCGTTACTTCTGCCGGACCCTGTATTTCTACACAGACTGATGGAGTGGTAGGGGCGGAAGAGCACTGTTTTGAGAGTTTGGAGATCTTAGTTTGATATCCAGAAGGTTACAAAGGAGATGTGTGGACTTGGCTGATCTAGCTCTGCTTCTCCCTTGGCACATGAGGGGGCTGGCCTCTGTTGTCCAGCGGAGGAGGGCATTTCCTTGCCTGAGTAGAGTTAGACACCACTCTCTGTAAAGGAGAATAGTGGTCCTACTTTATGTCATCCTTTGGCAGAGCTTTCCCAGCTACCAGGTTTAACATTGAACTATTAAAGATCTGGGATGTGGGGGAGCCTCCTGAATCATTTTCTGACCTGCCCTTTAACCTGAACCTGTTTGCAAGCTCCTGGTTCACAGGCCACATGGCCCAGAACAAAATGCAACAGATTGCAAACAATGAGGGGGGTGGGGAGAATGACTGATGGCAAAGCTCAGCCAATAGGGGGTAGAGGCTGGGTAAAACAGCATTCCAAACACAGCGTAGTCAGCCAATCACAGGGCTTAGGGCCGGGAGGGCTGAATGGTCAGGTTTTATTAATGGAGAAATAATGCGATTGTCCACACAATGGAAGCTTTCCTGACAAAGGGGCTCAAGCATCCTGATATGCAAAAGAGACAGAGAACTGAGCTCTTCTGTTGTCAGGGTGAAATGCATTAAGGTGGTCTTCTGGGGGGGGGGGGGCGCTGGAAAACGTGTGAAGTAGGAAGGTTTTCTATCTCCTCTCCGGATTGGGGTAACCCAAGAGACCTTCAAGCCAGGGACTAATGGGGGCATGTCCAGGTATCTCCAGGTCCCTGGTGTTTCAGCCCTTGTGTGGGGATAGGGGCTTTTCTGCTGCTCAGTTTTCTGTGCCCCCTGGCACAGGTAGCTGTCGCTTGTACCTTTGTGAAGTTCCTGCAGATTTTGCCGACCTGCAATTACAGATTCAACACTGTTCTGGTCCAGGGAAGGGGGTGGGGCAGGCAACCTATAAATGATGGATGACTTTAGAAACCCATTGAACCCAGGAGCAAAATGCCCCTCAGGGAAACCTTTCCCTCCCCCCTGTGGGTGAGGAGGGATGTGTTGTAGCCCTCCCTTCTCTGAATCTTCCTCTGAAAGGGATAGTAGAATAGAGAGGTGGGGGAATAATAGGATTTATAACTTGTGAAAAGTAACAATTCCCCAAGTGCAGGCTGTGTTGGGCAGGAACAAAGGGCAACTCTGCCCACAGACCCCTCATTTACAATTCTGATGGGGCATGAAAGAGCCCGACTGGGGAAGATCTTTATAGCTAAACTTTGTCCCAGGCTGATAGCTCTTTCTCTCCATCCTCTAAGTGGGGGAGGGGAGAGCCTATGCAGACCGGGGGCTGTTGGCTTGGGTTTGCCTTTTGTTCTTATCTAAGCCTTGCTGTACAAAAGGAAATTGGAGAATATTTTCCTTCTCGCCTATTTACCCTCCTTTATTCATACTGCCCTTACCCAGTTACAAATGAATCAGCTGTCTTTCCCCTCACTTCAATTTGTTTATATCTAAATTGGGAAAATGTCACCTCCTTTCCCAAGCTCCAGCATAGGGTCCTTGTATGAGTTTCTCAATAGGGTGTGTTTCTTCTCTTGTTCTCTCTCCTCGGACAGAGGGTGAAGAAATTGATGTTGTGACAGTGGAGAAGAGACAGTCCCTGGGTGTACGGAAGCCGGTCACCATCACGGTGCGAGCAGACCCTTTGGACCCCTGCATGAAACACTTCCACATCTCCATCCATCAGCAGCAACACAACTATGCTGCCCGCTTTCCTCCAGAAAGCTGCTCCCAAGGAGGGGCTCCAGAGAGGGGTCCCCAAGAAGAGGCTCTGGAGAGAGATGCTCCAGAGGAAAAGGAAGAGGAGGATGTACATGAAGAGGTTGTGAGCCCTCTGCCTATGGAAAGTGAGGCTTCCCAATCCTGCCACCCCAAACCTGTCAGTTCTGACACTGAGGATGTGACCAAGAGGAAGAACCACAACTTCCTGGAGCGCAAAAGGCGAAATGACCTCCGTTCAAGGTTCTTGGCCCTGAGGGACCAGGTTCCCACCCTGGCCAGCTGCTCCAAGGCCCCCAAAGTGGTGATCCTGAGCAAAGCCTTGGAATACTTGCAAGCCCTGGTGGGAGCAGAGAAGAGGATGGCTACGGAGAAAAGGCAGCTCCGATGTCGGCAGCAGCAACTGCAGAAAAGAATTGCGTACCTCAGTGGCTACTAACTGACCAAAAAGCCTGACTGCTCTGTCTTACAAAGACCCAAGTTTATTTTTTTTAACCTTTTCTCTCCCCCTTAGTAATTTGCACATTTTGGTTACGGTCGGACAGTCCGGACAGTAGATCCCAGAATGCTTTGCAGCCAGCGCACACAATAAGGGCTTGCATTCTTGGAAACCTGGGACCCCAGCTCTCCCTCTTCCCTGACTCACGGGAGCACTGTGTCTTCTGTGGCGCCTTCGGCTTCTCGGGCAGGCAGCTGACTGAGGAGCCCCAGGGTCTGCCTCACTTACTAGCTCTGAAGAAAAGCCTGACAGATGCTATGCAACAGGTGGTGGACGTGGTTGGGGCCTCCAGCCTGCTTGAAACCTCACACTCCGGATGAGTGTTAGGCTGGGAAAGGATGCTCCCACTGCTGTCTCTGGGGTGATGCTAGGACAGCTGGGCCTGGATGCTCTCCCCGAGGCTCCTTTTTCCAGGAGACACATGAGCTGTCTTGGGTGAAGACAAGCTTGCAGACTTGATCAACGTGGACCGTTACCTCACTGTCAGACACTTTACAGTAGCTGAGGAGTTGGAAACCTTTAATATATACATATATATTATAATGTTAGATGACACCCCTCTTCCCACTCTCAGTGCTGCGACCTTGACAACGTTTAAAGAACTTGGCCTCTAGGTTCTTTGTCTCAAAGCCCTCTGGGCCTTTTCCTATGAGGAAGAGACCATTCTGTCCTCGTAAGGGACTTTTTTTGTTTCCTTCTGCCTTTGTTATGCAATGGGTTCTACAGTACCCCTTTCCCGCAGGTCAGAAACGTTTCCCTAAGACACAGGGAAATGGGCCCTAGCCTGGCGATGGCCTGGAGTCCTGGCCGTGAACTTGTTCCTTACCCCGGTGTCTTCTGTCTTGGAATCTTTGCACAAGGCAGATGTCAGGCATCTCAGGGGTGAGGACTGTACCACTTCCTATTTTCCAGCTGCCTCTCACCTCAATCCCTGGCTGATAAGTTTGAAGTTCTGTTAGAACCATCCTTCTCATGCAACTCTAGGGAGCTTGCTGTCTCTGCAGCCACCCTTGGGCCACCTGCCAGCCTGGCATGAGTCATCCCTTCCCTAGAATCTGGGACTTACTGAAGTTTTTACTGGGAGAGCTGCTGGGACTCATCCTGGACTCCAGAAGGTAGTCTTGCTTCCTGGTGGGAGCTCTGCTTAGTGGGCCATGATAGATTTTGCCCCAGCTGGACTTGGCACCTCCAAGTGGATTCCGGGTGCAGCCTCCAGTCTGTGAAAGGCACCCAACCCTATAGTGTCTTGTGAGCAACCTCAGGAGCCCCTAAGCCTAGCCTGGACGAAGGACCAGCCCCCTCCAGAACCTTCCTGTGGGCAGCAGTATCTGCTGGTTATGGGTTCGAAAGGGACACGGAAGGAGGGTGGAAGGCTGTATGCAGCTCTGGAGAGCCACCTGCTACTTCTAAACCTATTATGCACGATGGTCTGTTTCTGAGGTTGCTTCCTGGTGCCAGAGAACCCCACTGGAAGCTTGGGAAAAGCCTCCGTATCTTTTGGAGCATGGTTTTTGGAGCCAGCCAACTTCTGGAACTGTCTTTGGAGAACAGGTGGGAAGTAGGTTACTGATGTCTCACCTGAATAGCTTGTGTTTTATAAGCTGCTGTTGGGTATTATGCTGGGAGCAGTCCTTTTTTTTTTTTTTTTTTTTTATACTGTATTTTTGTATGCCTTTTGCAAAGTGGTGTTGTTTTTCTACAAGAAAAAACATCTTGGGCAATTCTGTTGCAAGAGTCTGATTTATTTTGAACGGCAGGTTTACCTGAAATTTTTTTATTTAGTTGTGACTATCAATCTCCTGATATTAAAATGTTGCCTTCTGGGACACCTTCTAATAAAAGATTTCTCAAACATGTCAGAGTCGGGACAGCTTATGCCAGCTGAATCTGCCTGAACCAAGGAAGATGATTTCAGGGTGGCCACAAGGGAGGTAGCAGGTTGCATTTCTCTAACCATGTTGCTAACCTGGTCATTCCACTTCGGGTTCCTGAAATGCCATTTCAGACATGTCTAAACAATGTAGGCTCGGCACTTGGTGAACATAAAATTCTCTTGTGAATCGCGAAGAGTGCTGAATTTGTATTTTAGAAGGCTTGAAATCCTGGTTCCACCACTTACTTATTCTGTGCCTTTAATTTTATCTTTCTGAGTCCTAGTTTCCTTATCTCGAAAATGGGGCTAAATGCTACTTCACAGGGTTTGGCAGGTACTCAGTGAAGTAGTAGAGGATAAACCACTTTCTAAACTATAAAGCCTTACATTCTTTAGCGTGGTGCTGCTCTTTAGTGGTATGATGACCCTTTGCAGGACATCTTTTTAAAAAATCACAATGAATTTGTGATGTAATGTGATTTTTTTTTTCTTTTCCCCTGGATTTAATGAGAGAAAATCAAGGTTCCCTTTCCTTCACATGATTCTCATAAACCTGCTATGAATACAAGAGGAGAGAGTTTAGTAAGAGCTCTTCCTGATAGAGCACTGCCTGTATCTGAGCTCACTTCTCCATATTATGCCACACTAATCACATGCCAGTGCTACAGAAGAGGGAACCAAGGTTCTAAGAGTGAAACAAAACTGCCCAAAGTTCCACAGCTAGGCAGTGAATGAGTTGGGTTTTGAAACCAGCTCTGCCTATCTCCACAGACAGAAGTCTCAAGCTCTGCATAGTGATGATCAGCTTGCTTTGTTAGCATGAGGTGTGGAGGAGGTAAACATGAATTCCTTCGCTTAACTGCTTCTTGGAACTCACTTCGTGGGGCCATTGTGCCTGCCACTTAACTGGGATGAAGTGAAGCAAATGTCCCATGACCAACCTCTCTGCCCATTTGTGGGCTGGGAGTGTTAGTCTTGCCCCAGAGAGGCCCCTTCTGGGACTGAAAGGAAAATGGTTGCTGTTCAGAAAGGCCCCGAGCATCGTGGTGGGAGAAGGCCACTTTGCCTCAGCGACTCCCGCCTTAGAGCTGAAACCTGGGTTGGTGCTGCCTTCCTGCGCTCCTGTGGAGCCTGTGTAGAGGCAGAAAGCTACTATAAATTCCTCACATTTACCAAGTGCTCCTTATCACAACCTGGTAAGTAAGCAGTATCTGCCACATGGTACTGGAGCCCAGAGAGGTTTCTTGCTCAGGGTCACATGACAAAATCAGAATCCCAAACCCAGTTGCCTGTCAGGCAAACTTTCCACTTCTCACCGCCACCGCCCCACCCCCACCCCCGCAGCCCCCACAACTCTTAACATCACCAAACCCAATCCATAAGTAGCTGTTTGATAAAAACACATTGGATTACTGGGTTTCTCTCTTTAAAATTGATTTTAGAGGAAGAGAAACGATTTTTTTTTCCCCGCTACCCTTGTGCCCCGCCACCCTCCGGCTGGTGTGGCTCAGTGTATTGAGCCACAAACGAAAATGTCGCCAGTTCGATTCCCAGTTGGCCCATGCCTGGGTTGCGGGCCAGGTGCCTAGTTGTGGGCCTGCAAGAGGCAACTGACTGATGTTTCTCTCCCTCCCTTCCTCTCTCTAAAAATAAGTAAAATCTTTTTTTTTAACCCTCTTTTTCTTTTATTGTCAGTTCTATTCACATCCTTTTTATTGATTGATTGTTTGACTTTGAGAGTACATTCATTAAAGCTAGGGACAGTGAGACAAAGGAAGGGCTTAGGATAGAAGCGACAGGACAGAGCCTAGGCAGGGCTGCTTTGGCTCTCTAGAAATGTCGGGAAGAAGTGAGCCACAGCTGTCTGCTCACTGAAAAGTCAGAAAAGGGGGCCTTGGACACAGGTTCAGGGGGTAAGCCTGGGATGAGCTGCTGCTGCCTGTTGCTACCTTAGTTGCAAGTCTCACGGGGACCCTTAGAATTCAGGAGAGAGAAGTAAAGATGCTTGCCTGGGAGAGAAGAAAGTAGTGGGCATGCTCCAGAGAGGGCCCACCCCATCATTTTTTTAGGACATTTGTCAAGAGACTAATTTGTAGGACTTCTCTCCCTTTACTAAACCTTGAAAGAATTTTGGGCCCTCAGAAAGATAGTAGGAATTCAGGTACAGGCTTTAATGCTAGTTGTTTTACATATCTAAATCCTCACAATAACCTGGAGAACAGGAGGGTGTCACCTGTTTCACAGATAAGCAAACTGAAGCTGAGAGGCATTTACTGGTAAATCGTTTATCTAAATCTACACAGCTAGCAGCAGCTGCCTGACTCCAAACTTCAGCTCCTTTGAGTCCAGCTCTGCTGAGAAAGGAGTGAGAATAAAGCCATCTCCTGGGGGGGGAAGGGAAGGTGTTTCTGGAATGTGAAGTATTTTAAGCTCCTTCCTAGCTCATTCCTACAGACTCCTACCTCTATCTTTATCCAGAAATAGCCAGGACTGTATTCCTGGATGTCAGAGAATATGCCCAATTTAGTGATGTGGACATTGTAAGGGGCAGCAGAGAAGCCACCTGTGGTAGAGAAGAGAATGGTCATCATGTTAGACAATAAAAGTTTAACGCATGTGCTTAACCCTGGCCCCTATTGGCAGCTATGTTGGGGAGACTGAGACAGGTTGAGCTATCTTAGACATGCTGAATTTGCCTAAAGTGCTCCTAGGGTCAGGATATTGCAGAATATTCACTTTGGAAAGAAAAGGGCAGTGGGGATGGTTTTGTAGATTCTGGGGGTGATAAGAGGGAGTGAGAGTAGAGAGAGGTTCCTTTCTAAGGGTAAGAGAACCAGTTCGTTGGGAGGTGATTGATGACTGGGTGCCTGGGGAGGGGTGAAGGGGAGGTATCTAAATGTGTCAGCTGAAGTTCCGTTGGGGTGTGGACATTTCTACTTTAAGTCCAGTGGGCAGCTCTTGATAATGTCTTTATTTAGACCTGCTGCCAAAGGAACCAACTGTATTAACGTTACCATTCTTTTGGTAATGTAAATGGCCCAGGAAATGTAAATATGTTCTTTTTTTTTTTTTAAGGCATGTGTTCCTAGGAGGTCCAGGGAGCTTTTCTTTTTTTTTTAATTTCTTTTTATTTATAGATTTATATATGAAGAAAGACATCAATTTGTTGTCCCACTTATTCATGCATTCATCGGTTGATTCTTGTATGTGCCCTGAGTGGGGATCAAACCTGCGACCCTGGCATGTCAGGACAATGCCCTAACCAAAGGAGCTAACTGGCTAGGGCCTTAAATATGTTCTTAAAGTCTCTATCAGGCGAGTTATTAAAAACCATAAGACTCAGTGTCAGGGGTCCAGTAGGTGCCCAGGAAGTGATGGATCATATTTAAACTTGTGGGAAGCAGTATGGTTAAGTGGTCTCTCACACCCAACAGATCTCAGCTCTAAATCTGGCTCTGTATGTTACAGCTGCATGACCATGGGCAAATTATTAACCTCTCCTAGCTCCCATATCTGTAAAACAAGTATAAATACTAACGCCTGCTTCATTGGATTGTTGTGAGCAATAGTAAATGCTTAGTACCTAGAGTTTTTTTGTAGTGAGTTATTGCATGTGAAATGTTTAGACTGTTGCCTGCCATGTGGTAAGCATTCTATTAGCATGTTAGCTATAATCCTTTTTCCCAATTATTTTTATTGCAGTTACATATACATGACAAATTTACCATCTTAACCATTTTTAAGTATTCAATTCAGTGGTATTAAATCATTCATAATGTTATTCAACCATTGTCTGCAGCACCGTGCATTTCCGTAACTCTTCATCTTGTAAAACTAAAACTCTCTCTCCATTAAACAATAGCTCCCTATTCTCCCCTTCCCCCAACTTCTGGCAACCACTGTTCTACTGTCTCTCTGATTTTGACTAAGTAGCTCATATAAGTGGAATCATACACCATTTGTCTTTTTGTGGCTGGATTACTTCACTTCATCCATGTTGTAGCACATGTCAGAATTTCCTTTTTTAAGGCTGGGTAATATTCCATTGTACGTATACACTGTACCTCATTTTGTTTATATATCTATTAGAACCCTTGAATGGCTCCTACATCTTAGCTATTATGAATAATGCTGCTGTGAACATGGATATACAAATATCCTTTTGAAACCCACCTTTCAGTTATTTTGGGTGTATACCCAGTAGTGAAATTTCTGAATCATATGGTGAGTCCATTTTTAATTTTTTGAGGAAAACCCACATAGTTTTCCACAACAGCTCCACCATCTTACATTTCTACCAACAACGCACAAGCGTTCCAATTTATCAACATCCTCTGCAACACTTGTTATTTTTTTTTATCGTAGTCATCTTAATGGATATGAGATGGTAACTCATGGTAGTTTTGATTTGTACTTGCCTAATGATTAGTGATGATGAGCATCTTTTCATTTGCTTATTGGCTATTTGTATTTTTTCTCTGGAGAAATGGCCATTCAAGTTCTTTGCCAATTTTTGGATTGGATTTTTTTATTATTATTATTTTTAGTTTTAGAAGTTCTCTATATATTCTGGATATGTCGGCAGCAAAGTGGTACCTGGTGTTAGACCGGTGGATTCAGACTGGACCTTGGTTCAGCAGCCTCAGTTCTCGAGTTTTGGCTAAGAAAGATTTCAGAGCCAAGACTCAAACTATAAGAGAAAGTTTATTTAGAAAGTCATAGAGGCAGAAGAAGTGAGCTGTAGAAGAAATGGGCTCAGGGAACAAGTTACAGAGGCAAAAGGAGGGCCATTGGAGCTTAGGAGAAAGAGAGACAAAGATACCACGTGCCTCTGGGGCAGAGGGGAAGAGGGGAAAGAGCAGTGGGCGTGCTCCACAGAGACAGCGTCATGGGGTCCTCCAGCTTGAGGGTACAGTGGTACATCCGTACTTGTTATCTCATTCTGGAACTCTTGAAAAGTGCCAAAACCAAGGAGTATCAAACCATGAAGCAATTGCTCTTGTAGGCAGCATCATGACTCACACAAGTTCTAGCAAGTGCAACGAGTCCCGAGCAAGCGCCTAGTGCTGAAACATTTTTGTTGTCAAAATGTGACAAGTCCAGGGTTTGACATTCTGAGGCTGATGAGTACCAAGGTATAAGTATTTTTCTGGAGGTTTCGAGGGATATCTTGCCTGGAGAGGAAGGAGGGGAAAGAGCAATGGGCGTGCTCCACAGAGAGAGCCTCGCTCTCTCAGGGGAGGATCCCAATAGAATATTCATCAGCTTTCCAGGTGTGCCCTTTCAGAGTCACGGTCTCTGCTGACTGGTCAGTGCCAGGGCAGGGGGTGATTAGTCAATGCAGCTGGTCCTGCTGTCACCATGGGGCTGCTTGTCTAGTTTTGCTGCTTTTCTGTGCCTGAAGCTGAAACACAATCAAGGCCTAGATGCATTTGATGTGGGTCAGGACCTCATTGTCCTGGGGGCTTAATGCTTATGAGCTACTCTCCGGTCTACTTGTTTTATATCCACTCCAAGAAGGTTGAGCCTGCATGACTAGCAACATGCAGGGGAAGATAGGTCAGGGGAGGGCCTGAACCACATGACCATAGATAACAGAAGGTCAGGGGGTCTAAACCTCGTTACTAGCAATATGCTAGGGGAAGAAGGGTTACCCTGGGGGAGGGGGCGAGGTCCTTGTTTTCCCGGCTCTCCACCCTGGGGACCTCCTGTGCCTGGCCCATCATCCTTGCTCTGCTCCCGTCTGTCTAACTCCTACCACAGGTATTAATCCCTTATCAGATATATAATTTGCAAGTGTGTTCTCCCCAAATGACTAGTGTTATTTAAACCATTTAACAAGCCACACCTAGAATACAGATTCATCCTATTGAAAGGTGACAGACAGGAGAGATTGGTAAAATAAGAAAGCCTTCCAGGAGTACTCTGAAGTAATCTTAAATACACATATAGATGATGCTCAAGAGTCAGCAAATCATAGAGGAAGGAGGAGCCAGGGTTAGGGAGACTGAGATAGGCAGGGGAGAAAAACAGGGCAGAGACCTGAGTCTCTGATGGGTCCACTGCATCCCATGACCCATGGCAAGCAGGAGGGGCCAGTCTGTGATGCTGTTGCACATATGTGCCCTCCATTTGTCCTTACTCAGCACTGTGGTGCCTTCATGTGAGCTATAGTCAACTGACCCCAGTCAGTCATTAAATCCTCTAATTCCTATTTTATTCAGGCAGAGATTTTTAAACCTGAGTGTGTTTTTAGAATCTAACCACCTCCAAGACCCTGATGCAAAAGGTCAGGGCCCGAAGTCTTCATTGCTGATAAGCAAGCAGGGAGGTGGAATCCTGAGGTCACACTTAGAAAAACATTGGAATAAGGGGTTAGAACCAAGTCCTGCAGAGATACAAAGATACAAAAACATTCACAGAAGGTGGTATATATAGATGGTATATCACAGGGTTGGGCAAAGCAGGTTTACAGATCTGAGTATGTAAAACACAGAATTTATTCTTGTATTGTCATTAATTAATGTATCATTTTCCATAAGAACAACTATAAACTTTCTTTTGCCCCATCCTGTGTAATGGTTAAGAACAGGAACTTAGGGTTGCTGCTTATGTGGTGTTGGGCAAATCACTCACCTCCCTGAGTGAGTTCCCTTCTTCTCTAAAATGGATATAATATTAATACCTAGCTCATAGAACTGTTGTGAAGAGTAAATAAATTATATGTAAAGTACCTAGAATAGTACCTCCCACATAGTGAAGAGCAATGAAGATGAAGCTATGGTTCCTTATGGAAGTTTATGAGCATACAAACATGATTACAAAATAAGGCAATACATGTTTCAGACAAGGGTCACAAGCCTCAGAAGGGGAAGAGAGCACTTTGTTTGAAGTCATTAAGAAAGTTCTTGTTGGGGATATTGTGACTTTAACTGGAACTAGAAGTGCCAGTAGTATTTGGCTAAGTGAAGAGGAGACACTGTTCTAGGCTAAGGGAGTCGCTTTGGGGAAAGGGATTGGGAAGGTTGTGTGGAACCTGGGGAAAGGGGAGAAATCTGGTCTGATTTGCTGGCTGAATGGTCTCATTTTTAGAAAACAAGAGGGATTGCACTAGATTTCTAAGCAGATCCTTTCAATAGCAAACATCCTCTGTGATTCTTTGAAATAGGGAAGTCAGGAAAAGAAACTGATTGTGGTTTGGGACACAGAGATTGAAATGATGGGGTCATCCAAAACAGAGGAAGTAGGAAATGTGACACTGAAGCTTTAGAAAACGGTTTGAAATGAAGATACAAGCTTGAAACTCATCAGGTTATAAAGATGATGAAGGCCCAAAATGCCAAGCCATGAGAAAGAGAACAGGCCAGAGGAGTACAGGAGAAAGCTTAAAAGAGTCCTGAGGTGCTCCCTTTGGCAGCACATATACTAAAATTGTAACAATAGAAAATAAAGAAATCAAATACAATTGGAACAATACAGAGAAGGTTAGCATGGCCTTTGCACAAGGGTGACATGCACATTCATGAAGCATTCCATATTTAAAAAAAAAAAAAAAAAAAGCCCAGAGACTAGAACTGGCAAGGACCTTGGATGGCTCTGCATCTTTCCCCCTTTTGCTCCTCCTCCACTCTGATTTTACAGCGTTCAGCAATGCTCTGTGGTATGCAGGCCCTCGGAGAGCTGAGACGCCCGAAATGAGCGCCCTTTGAGAACACTCTGGTGTGCTCTGAAGCAAACCCTGTAAGTCAACTTTAGGTGTAACCTAAACTCTACAACGGGGTGAGCGCTACTCTATTCTTCTGCTTTCTTGTTTTGAGTAATTCTGATGCTCCCAAATTTGCGTTAACCGATCGCCAATGGAAACAGCAATTCACCAAACCAATGGAAGGTGTGATTACTCGCAGGCACTGTACTGGGTTGTATAATATCCCCCACTAAATTCAGGTTTATCCAGAACCTGTGAATGTGACCTTAATTTGGAAATAGGATCTTTGCAGATGTACTCAAGTTCAATGAGGTCATATTGGATTAGGCCGGGCTCTAATCCAATGACTGGTGTCCTAAAGAGAGGGAGATTTAGACAGAGACGCGCAGAGAAGAGAGCCACGTTAAGACAGAGGCGGGACTGGAGTCATGCTGCCACAGACAAGGATGTCAGGGTTGTCAGCAACCACCGGGCGCTGGAAGGGGCAAGGACAGATTCTTCCGCAGAGGGAAGCGTGGGAGCATGACCCTCCGCGCACCTGGGTTTTGGACTTCTGGCCTCCAGAACTGTGAGAAAATGCTATTGTGTAAGGCCACCCAGTCTGCGGTAGCTTGTTAGGGCAGCCTTAGGAAACTAATACAGGCACCAAGTTCATCATGAAATACCCCCACAGGAAATAGTTTTTATTTAGGATGCCTAATTAGTATGGGGTTAGGTTGCAAAGGCGCGTTAGGTTGTACCAAAAAGCTAGTGTTTGTCTTCTTTTTTCTTTTTTAAAGGTTTTATTTATTTATTTTTAGAGGGGAAGGGAGGGAGAAAGAGGGAGAGAAATATCAATGTGCAGTTGGCTGCTTCTCACACACCCCAAACCAGGGACTGGCCGGCAACCCAGGAATGTGCACTGACAGAGTATGGAACTGGTGACCTTGCAGTTCACAGGCTGGCGTTCAGTCCACTGAGCTATATCAGCCAGGGCTAGTGTTTGTCTTTGGCCCTACTTTCTTCTCTTACCTTGGAAACAGATGCTTCAGTCCTCCCATTGCACATTCTTCCTTCTGTTCAAACTGTCACAGAATCCTCCAGAATTCTATTCTGAAGGTTTGAGCTTTCTGGATGCTTCACTTTGAATGAAACTTCCACTCTCATGGTTTCACCAGTAGACTTCTTTGTATGTTTCTTTCTCTAAAAATTTTTAAAATAAATTATTATTATTTTTGTTAATTTTTTTTAAAGATTTTATTTATTTATTTTTAGAGAGAGGGAAAAGGATGGAGGAAGAGAAACATCTATATAAGAGAGAAACAGCGATCGGTTGCCTCTAGCATGCGCCCTGGCCAGGCACCTGGACCACAACCAAGGCATGTGCCCTGACTGGGAATTGAACCAACAACCTTTCTGTCTGCAGGCGGGCGCTCTACCCACTGAGCCACACCAGCCAGGGCTAAAATAAATTATTTAAAAAATACAGAGGATGGAAAATAATATAATAAACCCTGGCTGGTGTGGCTCAGTGGACTAAGTGCTGGCCTGAGAACCAAAAATTCGCCAGTTAGATTTCCAGTCAAGGCACATGCCTGGGTTGCAGGTCAGGCCCCGCGTTGGGGCGTGTGAGAGGCAACCACACATTGATGTTTCTCTCTCTCTTTTTCTCCCTCCCTTCCCCTCTCTCTAAAGATAAATAATAAAAAAAATTTTGTTAAGAAAATAAAATAATAAACAATAATGGGTCATCACCCGGCTTTCCCTTCTGCCTTTCTGCACCTCTCCCTTTCTCCTTTTTTGCCATATTCCTATGTGCATCCAACCCAATGTACTGCCCTCAACGTCCTAAAGAAGGGGAGATAGGTGCAGAGGAGCCCAGCCTGACTACACATCTGCCCCAGAGTACAACACTCACACATTGTGGGTGACAATTAGATGGCTGGCTATGGACTTTCAGAAGGACAAAGAATTATTACCCTCCAGGTAATCTGAGCATCCCTAGTACCTCATTCCTACATTTTAGATATGCTCTTCCAGACTGAACCTATCCCAGCATTTTTGCCTTTTAAACTAGAATTTTTCTGCCCAAAATAATCTATAAGCAGTGGAGTATGTGGGAGATGGCCTTCTGTGTTCCTCACCTCTACATATATACATACACTTTCAGTGAGAGGTTCCCTTCCCTCTTGAGCTATCTTTCAGAATAGATGGAGCCACATCCCATCTGACCTCATAAAAGGTGGAGAAGGGGTCAAAGCTAATACTGGGCATGACTACAAACAGTTTTCCTGACTCCCTTTTGTTGTCTTTTGTGTCCTTATTACCTTGCAAAGCTTCCCATTAGAGGGTTTTATGTTGTTTTTATTTTTTAAAGAAATACTTATTAACTCTTGGTCATAGACTTTAATTTCCCAATTTCCCCTTGAACTTAACCTCTCCAATGAGGATTTCAATTTACAGATTATCTTGCAGGACCTATTCTAAGTATAATTTAGAGTTCAGAGGATCATTAGGGAGACAGAGGTACAAATAAAATACTGAAAAGGTATTATAAAATGTGTTCCCACTCTCTTTTGGTAGGACTGCTAGAATTACAATGAATGAAAATGGCACGATGTTTTTCTCACTTCTCGTTTATTTTGGACCATGAGCTCCATTCTGATTTAGGAGTATTTCCTGCTCAGCATTTTAGTGATAATTCTCCCCATGGTCTACAGGATCCCTCTTCTCTTTGTTTCTATAGCAACAGTCCTGTGTTGCTTGGCTAGAAGCAATTTTCTGCTGCTGTGGTAAAGCCCCATTTTTTCATTTCTTTCTCCCTAGTTGCCTTGGCAACCAGCCTCTCCTTCTTCTGGTCTCTCAGTGGTAAATTTCACCCCCCTCTTATTTCCTCTCTCTAATAACAGTCACCTGGTCGTGACTTGGACAGTGCCTTCCCATCTGTGCGTGAGCATACTCTGTCATGGTCAGATTGTCATCATGAAATTAGTCTCCCTTTTGCTTTATTTGCATCATTTCTCCAGTCTGTCATCTTTCTGTTGGTTGTCATGGTAACTGTACCCTCTGAAAGTCTCCAGGCAAAAGCTCTACAGTTAACAACCATCATGTTGAGAGTGTCTGCCAATATGTGGCCACACATTTCGATTTCAAAACCAGCCCCAGGCAGGTACCACAAATTGGAGAGAACAAGGCTTTTGATCAAAGCAGATTGGATTGAGAAAAAGAGGTACGAGGACCCTAGGATCTGGTGTTCTCCAAACAAAAGCTGGCTACAAAAGTGGCTATTACGCCAATGGCGATCCAAGTGATTGAGAAATGTATTCTTAGTTATTCCAGGCAGGCCACATATTGGCAGGCATTTTCACATACGCTCTCAACTTCCAGGAGTAATTCCTCTGGCCCAAGGGACCCTGGTGATGTGATCTGGGAAGAGACAAGTAATCTCAGGAAGAAAGCAATGTACTTAAATTGGCTAAGAAGGGGTTAATACAGTAGATATTTAGACACTTTTACACATAACTGAAAATTTCTCAGCCCTTCAGCTGCTGCTCTTACCCCTTTAGTAAGATGCATGGAGTGCTGCTATTATAATAATACAAAGTATTCAACAAATGTTGGTTGTTATATGCCAGGGCACTGTAGCAGACACTTTCCAGACATTATTTTATTTTCTCCTTATGGTAATCCTGAGAGGTGTTTAATGATACAAAAGTTGAGGCTAGGAAGTAAAGTTATTGGGTGAGGCCACATAGGTGATAAGTGACCCAGCAAGGATTTGAACCCAGGTCCATCTGATTCCAAAGCCTTGCCTTTTCTTTTTTTTTTTTCTTTTTTTAGAGAGAGGGGAAGGGAAGGAGAAGGAGAGAAACATAGATATGAGAGGGAAACATCAATCGGTTGCCTCTTGTGCACACAACCTGAACCAGGGACAAACTCATAACCTTGGTATATATGCCCCGGGAATCGTACCAGCGCGACCTTTTGGTTTACCGGACAATGCTCCAACTGAGCGACACCAGCCATGGCCCAAAGCTTTTCTTAAAGGTTGTGGAGTGTCCTGGATTTTGGTCCTCTCTGGTCCTAATTTTCGTTACCCCCACTTTTAATCTGAGGATTGCTACTACTTTATCCTTCCTGCTTTATTTTTCCTCTTCATATTTTGTGGGTTGTTTACTTGCCTTTCTCTGTGCTCACCCATCTCTTGCTTGCATCCTTTCTCCAAAGAGATGGAAAGTCTTGCCCTGCCTTCTGACTGTGTCTGACTGCGTTGTGGGGTGAAAACATTAGAGCAGCCACTCTTGCTTGAAAACAGGCGGCTCTGATCCCAGAGAATGCTACACATCCGAGCTGACTGGCTCCAGCACTAGATAGGCAGGCCATTCCTCGCTCCATTTCACGATATTGGGTGCCTGTTCGGTATCAGGTACTGTGCTAGGTACTAGAGATACAGTAATAACCCAGACGGAATCTGTTCCTTGCTTTTAAGGAACAGCCTGGAGTGGAAAGTCAGATAAAAGACAAGTCTTGTCAGTTTATAATTTCATATTGTAATCAGTGCTAAGAGGAAAAATAACTGAGTGCTCTGAGACAATAACAGGAAGACATCCCTATTAGAAAGGACTGCCATCCCCTACGTAAGAGAGCCGGTAGTTGAAGCTCTGACACCGGCTAGTTGATGGGAGCCTCTCAAGCCTGGGGACCTCCGTGCCACAGCTCCCTCCTCCCTTCTCACCCTCCCTCCAGAGCCCCACGTCTGCACAGGCGCACTGCCAGTTGTCATGGGGACAGCTGCTGCCGCGCAAGCGCACACATCTCCAAGATGGCGGCGGTGGCGGCCGCACGAGCAGTTTCTGTGGGCCCTGGGATCCGGGGCCTGCCAGGGACACTGCCACTTGTCGTGATTCTGGGGGCCACGGGCACCGGCAAATCGACCCTGGCGTTGCAGCTAGGCCAGCGGCTCGGTGGCGAGATCGTCAGCGCTGACTCCATGCAGGTATGACCGTGCGGCTTGGCCCCTGGCTTGTGAAACCCGGCGGCTGCGTGCAGGCCTCTGACCCAGTGGATACTCTGTGGCGTGGGGGTAGTGAGTGAACCCTGAGGCTAATGGGGCGGAGGAGGAGGTGAAGGGAACCCATAATTACTAAGCTCCCAACATCTGTCAGACATAGTGCCAAGGCGTTTCACTTTCATCATCTCATTTCTCGTGACATTACTGTTTGGTAGGTACTATTACCTCCATTTACGGATGAGGGATTTCACCCAAGGAGGTGAAACAGACTTGCTCTGTGTCACACAACGAACAGGTGGAGGAGATAGTACTTGAACCTGCAAGGTTGACATGTAGGCGTCCAATAAATACCTTTTGAATGAAAATTATTCTAGAGTTTTTGGTATTTAGAGTGCCCAGAGAATGCTACATATCTGAGCACCAGATAAATCAGTTTCTATCTATGAGCTTTTGGTGAGGAAATGGAACCGGTTGGATAGTCAGGAGATCGGGATTCTAGCCCCTAATCGGCCATCGGCCACGTGACCTTAACAGTGTCAGGGTTTTTTGCACGTTATCTGTTAAGTGGAGAAAATACTACCTACCTCACGGGGCTGTGATGATTAATAATTGAGATCATGATGTTAGAATGAAGAGAACGAAGAGCAGGATGACCTGTTCTGAAGAAAGCCAGGCGTTTGGTAAATGCGTGTTTTAAAAAGCTGAGATTTAAAAAAAAAGTGCTGAGATTTTTAACCTATTGGCTGTTGGGAAACAGGAGGCTTTGTCCTCTTCCTTGAGTCAAAGGGAGACCTAGAAGGAATGTGGCACACATGGCACGTGGGAGCATTTTTGTTCGGAGTGAGAGAGCGTGGCATTTTGGGTAAATCTCCGATGGAGGAATTACCCATGCTATTTGTTGAAAAGAATTTACTGTTAGGAGTTTTAATAGAGTAAATGAGTTACTTGTTATGAAATACCAGGTGCTGAACCTAGTAGGCAAGGAGGGGCAGCTCTGCCCACTGTACCTCATAAACCTCTGGGCAAGGTTTCTACCCTCATTAGTTTATTTGGGGTGATACAGTGATGAACACTCATGAAATGATTAGGATGCTTCAGCAAATATTTGTTCACAATCTTTACTTTTTGCCAACTTTGAGAGGCTGATTTAGCTCAAATCTCAGTCCTCTCTTTTCTAAGATAAGCAACTTCAGCCGAACCTCTTCATACGCTTGTTTCTTCTGTAAAAGAGCAAGTATAATGTCAGTAATACAACATTGTGATTAAAGGCGATTAAGTATGTAAAGCACTTAATAAAATATATGGCACATGATAAGTGGTAAAAATATGGTAGGTGCTGCCCGGGATGGTGTGGCTCTGTTGTTTGGGTGTGTCCTACAAATTGACAGTTTGCAGGTTCGATTCCAAGTCAGGACACATGCCTGGGTTGTGGGTTCAGTCCCCAGTCAGGGCGCATACAAAAGGCAACCAATTGATGTTTCTCTCCCTTTCTTTCTCCCTCCCTTCTCTCTAGAATCAGTCAATCAATCAATATTATGGTAGGTGCTATTTTCTGAAAGGCCCTCTAGAAGAGATAAAAACCACAATCCCTGACCCCAAGAAATTTTAGTCCAGTTAAACATGAAACAAAACAGCTATTAAGTGTTTGAACTGATGCTTTGCAAGGTGGGCAGGGTCGAGAGAAGAGAGGCTGTAAGTGTTAAACTTTATAATAAACCATAGAATTCCTGAGAAGGGAGAAATCAGTGAAGGGTGGCATAATTATGGAAAGCTCTCTGAAAAGGGACTTGAAAGGTAGGTGAAGTTTGGATAGATAGATAATGAAGAAAGTATTTGTTGACCTGCTTTATTAAAATGGTGCGTCTCGATCCATTCAAATTTTTCCTGCGATTATAAATAATTAGAATACAAGAATTAAATTTCTTTCTTTTTTGGGAGGCCGTGAGGATTAATTAATGTATGAACAATACTCATATTACTTTGGTGATTATTGAGCTTCCTGAGTCAGCTATAGGTTGTATTTAATTTTGATTAATATCTTGGTCCCCACTGGGAAACTTTGACCTTTGATTTTACTTTTCAGTCTAAATAATGAAATAAAGTATCTCTGCCCCATTCACTGTGAATGTGCCCAATTCTTCATTTCTATTTCAGCAAGGGTAGTGCTGCTTTGCTTGTTTTTTTAGCCAATGGAAGGAGATGATGCTTTTCAGTGATTTGAGGTTGACTCAGGAAATTTTTGGTAAGCATGTGAACAAAATGACATTTAAATAAAAATATTTATTGATTTTTGGAGAGAGAGAGAGAAACATCAATTTGTTGTTTCACTCACTGGATGATCCTTATATGTGTCCTGACCTGGGATTGTACCTGCAACCTTGGCATAAAGGGAGGATGCTCTAACCAACTGCACTGCCCAGACAGGAAAATGACATTCTTAATATTGGATGACCAGCTCCTTAAACGTTGTCAATTTTGAATAAATCTAAGGCAGAATAATAATAATAACAACTGAAATTTGTATAGCACTGTTTATCCTCACAATACCCTCATAACATAGATGTTATTTCACAGATAAGAAAAGAGGCTAAAGGTCTTAAAGTAAGTAGCTGACGTGGAATTGAACATAGGTCTCTCTACTTTCCATGCCTGATGCTTTATCCACACAAAGGTCTCCCCTTCAAGTGTGGCAGGAGTTGTGGGATTCAGTCTTCAGAGAGCATTTCCTAACTTACATGTCACTTTTCTTTCACAAGGGTGTGCTGCATTTTGATCAAATATAAAATGTATTTTAGGATTTATATTGTGAATCATAGTATGAATTAGTAGTGACGTCTGTCAAGTGACGTGTTGAACTGAATGGCAGCCATATGATGCATTGCTTAGGGGCATAAAATGTGCTGCAACTGGATAGAAATATAAGTTAACGTCATTAATTCAGTGATAGCAAAGAGAATGTTTACTGGAACAAGGGGGAAACGTGGCCTTGTGGAGAGCCTAGACAGAGCGGGAAGCTTCTTTGTTCTGATAGCTGCACAGACCAAAGGGTGGCCAAATGGGAAGTGCAATGTTTAGAAAGTTGTTTTCAAATTTCTAAGTTGATTTTTAAAAAAATCCAGTATTTGCATTTTAAGAATCCCTTTTGGAATGCTGTCCACAATTTTGTATTTCAGAAGTGTACTAGTAGCTCAGACAGGATTGTAAAAATACTGCCTTAAATCTTAAATTGTCTTGTACCTGATACTTGGGGTGTCATCTCTTTGTCCTACCTTAACTGTAGGGTCACCCCAACGCAACCCCTACCAGGGCATTTATTAGGGAAAATGCTTGTTTTTGGTAAACACTGAATGAGTAAGTACTTTAAGTTTTGAAGTAGCTTCTTTGAGGTAAAACTACAATGGAGTGTTAAGGGTAATATGTCTAGAGTGATAATACTGTCATGTAGCTAATACATACTGACTTGCTTCTTCTGTAGGTAGCTATGTAGCATCTGAAGGTCCTGCCTGGCCTCTTGCTTCCCATTCTTACGTGTTATTTTTTGAGTGGAAAGTAAGAACCATTTGCTTAGGGACTCTTCCTAGGCTCTACTGTGGATTCTGCATGACAGGTCTGAAAAAATGAGAAACAACATTTGTGTTTAATTTTCTGAGTTTTCCTAACTCCAGTTTCACAAATTATAGAAACATAAATATTCTCAGTCCGCAGTACGAGTCCAAATTCAGGGAGGGGCCCGTAATACAATTCTGTTTTCCAGGATGGAAAAACTGAGGTACAGAAAGATTAAAGAGCAGACTGGAGATCATACTGCAAAAGACACTTGCACACCTGGGAATTGGATCTGGGCCTTCTAACTAGTGTACTGTCTCATATATTGCAGGAAGGTGATACTGAAGGTCTTCCTTTCAGTCTGAGTCTTTTTCTTGGCATGTAAATTCAAGGTACAATGCATTGCCTTTGGTGACTGGATGAAACATTTGTACTGAGAAACTTGAAGGCACTTGCCAAAAGATGCACAATGACTGCCTGGAAATATAGGTCACTAGCTATATGCCAAGAGAAAATAAACAAAGTGTTCTATTTGGATTTATGTAGAGGAAGTACCTCTAATGCCTCAGTTCTTCAAGTCACTTGGAGAAGCAGCAGTCATACGTAGGAGCACAGTTTCTTTTGGGTTTGTTTGCCTAAACCTACAAGAGGAGAAGCAAATGATTTTTTGGCAGTCTGACTAGTAAGCAAGTTGTGTGACATTTAATATATGTGGAGTTCTGTGTTCTTTTTGTCTGCTTTGGGATGTAATTTAGGAGCAGTGTTTTTTTTTTTTTTTAACCAAAGGACTGTTGTCTGATAGTGCTCAAGGGAGATCTGGGATGCATGGGAGAGGCATATGAAAGGAGAGATGGGATGGATAGTGGATCTGAGGCTTACTAGCATATGAAATAAAAGTCATCAAAACCTGTTAACCAGAAGAAATGGGGGCTGTCTGGAGGCAATCTTTTTCTTTTAAAAGGTTTTATTTATTTATTTTCAGAGAAAGGAGAAGAGAGGGACAAAGAGAGGGAGAGGAACATTGGTTGCCTCTTGCATGCCCCCAGCTGGGGACTTGGCCTGCAACCCAGACACGTGCCCTGACCTGGAATCAAACTAGCTACTTTTGGGTTCTCAAGCTGGCACTCAGTCCACTGATCCACACCAGCCAGAGCTCTTTTCTTTTCTAAATTTTTTTTTGTCCTTTGTTATTACTTACTGGTTTGTTTGTTTTTTTTTTCTTTGTGGAAGCAATCTTGATTGATTGGTTGATTGACTTTTTAGAGAGGGAGGGAGAGGGAAAGAGAAACATGGATATGAGGAACACCTGTTGGTTGCCTCCTGTATGTGCCTCCACCAGGAATCCAACGGGAAACCTTTCGGTTACAGGAAAATGCTCCAGGCTCATTGTGTTTGTCTGTTTGTTTTTAATCCACCCCAGAGGACATGTTTATTGATTT